AGCTTATTACTGCACTAAATGTTTTTATTGATCGCCCTGGAGTCAGAGCCCACTGACCCCGCAAACCATTAGTGGCCATCGTGCGGAACTGTCATTTCCAGGCAGCAAGAGGAGATGTGGGATTCGCACAGGACACCTCGCTGGAAGCTGTGCCCTGGCCCCTCCAGCCCTGCACCTCCAGGCTGGGAGGAGAGCGGGCAGCGGGGGCTCCGCAGGGGCTCCGCAGGCGCGGCGGGCGGCCGGGAGCGAGCAGAGGCCGCGCGCCCCGGTGGCCGTGGCCGCGGCGAGGTTGGCGCGGGGCGGACGCAGCACCCACAGCGCGGCGGCCTCCCCGTGAAACAATAAAGCGGGCTGTAAAGCCTCAGGTGCTGTTTGCTGCGCCGTCTGCGCCGCGCCTGGGCCGGGAGCGCCTCTTCGGCTGATTCCAGGGAAAGATAAGGGGCCGCCGAGCCACCAGCTCTGTCTAGACTCGCGACCTCACAAGTCAAGCGCCTTGTTTGGATTAGCCCTCCAGATCTGCCAACCTGATCCAGTCCTGGAGGAGAAGGGCCCAGCAACACCCTGTTTTCCTCTCCCGGACCACGACTGTCCCTTCTTTAAGAGACCAAGGGCGGACTCGCCCACGGGGGTCGTGGGGCTGGTTAGGCCAGGGCCGGGTCCCCAGTTCCTAGCTCCCGCTCCCCAAACCTGAGTGCCTTCGGGCTGCCCGCCCGCTGGACACAGGAAACACAGCAGAGGGGGCACTAGGCACACCGGCAAAAATAAGTTGCCAACTTAACCAAATCCTCAAATAACAACGTCACCCTGCAATGAAAAGGCACTTTTGATCAACTGAATGGGAGGAGGATCCCAGGCCTGGAGAGGGCTCACCGGGATCTCTCCTGGGGCTGTCGTAAAGGGCAGATCAACCAGCATCCCCCCCCCACCTGGCGGGAAGCAACCTTCCCCCACATACCCCCCCTCCCCGAATTTAGGCGTCACATTTTGGGGGAAAAGTGGTTTTCTTTTTAGAACGCTCTGCGTATCAGCGCCTGGCGCTTTTGCAGAGGGATCAGCAAGCAGAAAAGATTTGCAAAATAAATTTTCGAAAAAATTGAAAGAATCAAATATAGTCTTAAGTGCGGCTCAGGGTAAGAGGCTGGCTTCTCCAAGGCAAAGAAACTGGCTTCTCCGAGCTCAAGCCAGAAAAATTAATGGACGTGATAGTAACAATGCTCAGAGCAAACACTCCGCTCCCTCCCTGCCGCCCCTCCCCCTCCTTTGCTCCCTGTGAACCAACTTCTCTGTCTACACTTCAGAGTCCCCGGGAGGTGTGGAGAGATCCTCCATCACGACTTGGGACATTGTAAGCTGTGAAGTTTATGTTTGTGGCGCCTGGGCTCAAACAGCCATTCAGTGGCTTGCTCCATTATCAAGAAAACAACAATCAGAAAAGATCAGTAAACAGAATTGGTTGCCAGCGCCCTGAATTAACTACTTGCATTTGAGTTTAAAAACACCAACTCACACTGTATACGTTAATTGTTTTTATTTTAAATAGTTAATGAGGATTCAAGATTAGGGGTCATTTTCCAAAGGAACACTTTTAAATAAAGGCACAAATATATCCCCTTCCCTCTTTCTCCCCGGAGACCCCAAAGAAAATTTGACTTGCCTTGTTGTGGTGTAATCTTTAACCGTTGATTAGCAGAGAGGAAGTAAACAGTCCTTAAAGAATTGAACCCAAGCATAATTTGGATTAGAAATCTCCTTTACAAAAGTTGACCATACTGAACTTTACAAATAAGAAAATAAGTAACTTCTGCTTAGTTTTCTTACATTAGGGGTGAGATTAAAAACCTTAGCTGGCTGGGTTCCATCCAAACTTAAGCTTTTCTGACGGTTTGGACAGACTTTTACCCCCCCCCCCTTTTTAAATAAAAAGGAAAATGCTAAGTAAATCCACATGCGAATTACAAGGTATTTCAATGAGAACGATTTGGGGACTTAAAAATCAAGGTGCTAGGGAAATGCAAAGTACTTGTAGGTACCTTAAAAGCACATTGTCTTTTTGGCTGGAAGTCAAAAGGATAAGATAGACCAGAAAAGAGGTCATTACGATCAGTTTAGCAATCCAGTCGCGGTGAACAGAGGCAGAGCTGTACATACAAAGTCGTCATTAATACGGAACCCCACAGAAGCTGTGAATTGGTAAGTGGGTACACACACCCACAGAGAATCTCCAACAACCAGAAATATTATTCCCATGAAGAAAAAATATCATTACGTATATGATTTTAACTAAGAAAGGGCTGTTTTTTCAATGAAAGCCAGGCCCATGTGATGAGACGGAAGAAGGGGGCTGAAATAGGTTACTGCTCTGAAACTGCAGCAGCAAAATCCCGGCAGGAAGAGTAGACACTGACACCAAGTCCTGCTTCAAGGGGAGCGCCCTGGATGTTTTCGGTTGCATTAAATTTTAGCTTGCAGAAGCTGGAGGAAATGAGTCATAATGTCCAGAAAGAAGAATGCCTAGTAAGGGGAGGGAGGATGAAAGATAATAGCAAACAGGAGGCATTTCATGAGCAGGCACATCTCCAGAGGTGTGCAGGGACAGCGAGTGTGCACACAAGGAGACGTTTCAGCTACATCTTTTAGAGCACACCCTGCAGAGTCCAGAAGGGAACACACCTTTGCCATGAATAATTCAAGAACTCGGATGCTATCCAGCCATCAACCCACTCCCAGCCATCAGGCAACAAGTATCCTGAATCCAGCAAGTGAAACCGAATCATTCATCACTCCCCTCCCAAATTACTGTACTTAAATTCAAGCTGTGGACTTCAGAAGAGACTGACATCTATATATGTAAAACATCACCTCCTCCCCACCCCACCCCCAGCCCTAATCTTAGAAATAAATGTCAGGATGATAAAGCATCACGAAGACGTATGCCTCACGCAAGTCCCTCCATTGCATTCAAATCCTAAATAAAGTTTTGTTTTTTCCCATTTCCAGGTCCTAAATTGTCAGGAGAAGCTGAGGCTGGGGAAGGGGAAGGCTAGGGCCGTGGTGCAGGGGACATCAGACTTCACGTGGGTTCTGCTGTCCTTCCAGTTCCTGGCCGTCCAGGTGTGATGGTGAGGAAAACGGAAAAGGCAGACAAATAGAGATTGTGACGGGGAAGCCGAGAGTCAAGTCCAGCGCAAGAAATGGAGAAGGGACAGGACAGAAAAAGCAAATAATGCGCAGGGCGGGGGCGCTTTCCTGGAGAAGATCTGTGTGAGATAAGACATAACTCCTGTTTTTCTCAACAGACTACAAGCCATTATTACCTCGGGCCAAATTATTACCCCTCTGTCAAGAATTAGACACAACAATCAAAGTAATCAACGGGCATGTCTAATGCACTGCAACATTTTCAATGCAAAGTTTGTTTTCTCTCTGCACCCACGTGAGAGCCTGTAATTAACCCGTTCTGTAGACCGATGCCAAACAAAAGCCTAATTGAGCCTCGTTTCCCTCACTTGCGCAGGTTTGGAAAGGGGGACAGCGAGCTGGGAGCCGGGAGCCCCGTTCGGGGGTGGGGGTGGGGGTGGGGTGGGCTGGCCTCTGCCCTGCTCCCTGGAAGGAGTCGGAGGGGCACAAGCCACAGAGACATGATTAGGGTACGTTAGCTTCGGTATTTATTACGAGTTGTCAGATATCTAAAGCCGCATTACACTCGCCAGTACAAATGAACCCAGTTTCTAGAGTCAAAGTACCATGGGGGAGGGGGACAAGCTGGAACCCCAAGGGCTAACTCTGCACCCGCAAACGAAGCAGCACCTGGAAGACCGATTCTGGACGGGAACATTTACCCACCCCTGTGTGCTGGCTCTGGGGCACGGGAACTGCTGCTAAATTCCGGGGGGATTCTCGTTCAAAGAGCTAGTCCTTTGGGTTTGCAGGGCGCGCGACCCCCCACCCCCATCCCGCAAAAGGCGGTTCCCCAACGCAGCCACCGCCTTGCGCTCGGACACACCCAGTCACCCCTCCAAGGGTTTGGAATTGGCACTGGGGGAGAAGACGGGTGGGGGTATAGGAAACAAGTTGGGGACAGGGGGTGGGGGGTGGGGGAGAGGCCAGAAGACGCACAGGCTGACTGGTCTGGGAATTGCTGAGAAAACTCTCCTCTCTCGGCCTGTTCTTCCTTCGCAAATAAAGCAGCATTTCTCCATCGGCTGACAGCCGCCACGGGTAAATAATGGTCATACCTCACTGGCTAGGCAGAAAGCCTCTTTTAGCAAGAGCTTATGCTTGAAATATGGGTCATTTCAACAATCCTAAGCAGGAGACTTTGGTATAAAGAACGCACTTACTCTAAGAAAATAAAATAGTGACTCAATCAAACCCCATTGGAAGCAGGGCCCTCTTCCTATTTGGGGTGGGGTGCGGGGTAGGGCAAGAAAAGAGACAGGAGGAAGGAAAGGTGGGGGGGAGGGGGGAGGCCAGAGAACAGCATCTTATTTTCAAAAACCAGTAATATTTTTACAGCTGAGAGCTCAGGGCTTCCAAGTAGGGTTGGTCCCGCCAGCAATGCAAACTCACAAATGCAAACGTAACTATTTGCAGGGACTCAGGAGGCCTGTCAGTTTACCCCATCCCCATGCAGTTCTTAATTTCAGACACTTGAACGGCTTACTTGTAAACATATAAAAGAGGGACCCTGGATCATTGAGTTTATTTATTTATCTATGCCAAACGTTTATTAGTGAAATAGTCCTGAAGATATAATCCTACATATGGCGCTTTGATTTCACATATTTATGAAAAAAAAAAATGACAAAACACATAGAATTAGACATAGAATTCAAAGACCACGGTACAACCTTTATCTTCTTTTTTTTTTTACTTCAGCAAACAAAAAAAAATGTCAAATGACATGAAAAGTGGCAAGTCTTCCGACAATAAATAATAAATTACTTTATAATTTTTGCAATGCAAGAGCAAACAAAAAAAAAAAATGTTTCCTTTTTTTCCTCTTTATTTCCAGAGAGAGAGAAAACAGTCATTGTAACTGATAACTATACACATCTTTGGGGGAGAAGTTCTTGGACAGACACAAGTCAAACACAATCCGAGACGCTTGTGGCGAAATAGAGGTACCTTGTTGCAATGCTTTAGAAGTTGGTTTTTAAATCTGGATTCAAAAACCTTTAAAGTCGCTTCAGACTTCTTGATAGAGGATGGATCTCAAAAAAAAAAAAAGAAAAGAGGGGAAGGGAGGAGTCGGGGGCAAAAGGAAAAAAGAAACCAGCTACAGGACAAGCTAAGAAACCCAGGATTTCAATTAACCCCTTGTTAAAGTCAACTGAAAACATGGCCAACCGCGCAGCTCCTTCCTGAAAGGGCTCTTTCAGCCAGTTTCCCTTCCTGCTCCTCTGCTGGGCTCCTGTTCGGCAAGCCAACCACCAGCATAGAAACAGCACCCTTCAGAATAGGATGGACCAGGAAATCTGTTTCTGCCTTCCTCTGCGTGTGCGGTGAAAAGAAACGCTTTTTTTGAGATCCTTGAATACAAATCCTCTACGTTTTAAAAACGTCTTTTTTTTTTTTTCTTTTCTTTTTCTTCTTTTTTTTTCAGTACTCCTAAGGTCACTGGATAGCGTGTATGTTGGGTTTGGGTTTTGTTTGTTGTTTGTTTTTAATTCTAGTAAAATCCCATGATTGTCTTCACAGTGTTGCTACCATATTACCTTGTCATTAAAACAGACCGTGCATTTCATGGAGCGTTCATTCCTCAATTCAGTTTTCATTGACTGGGTCGTTAAATACGTTTGTTTTTCGGAGTTCAACATTATAATTTCCCACTGTCTCCAACAGGGAAAAAAAAAAAAAAATACAGCTGAGTGAGTGTTCCTCATGCCTCAATGGGACTGGCTACCATGCTGTTGGGGGTGTCCGGGAGCTGGGAGGACATGGAAGCCACCTCACTGCCCGTGGAATTGGAGCCCGGTCCTCCTTCGGAAAAATTGACCTGCACAGAAGGTTGAGATATGAATAAAGGAGGCTTTGATCATACTCATTAAAGGATCATAAAGTCGTCACACGTGTGTGCGCACACAAACATCTGTGTGTGCAGACAGATAGGTAGACAGAGACATCCAGGTCTATAATTCAATTTTACAGGCTTAAAGAAAGCCTACACAGGAAAGAAGCCGAGGAGAAATCCTCTCGCTTTCCCATCTTCCAAGAGACCTGTTTTAACCGAAACTGAATTCCCAACATTATGTTGCATTAAATTATTTAAGAACAAATGTGTTTCCCACTGTAAAATGGCATCTCGACTCTACCACGCATGCTCCAAACAACCATCCCGCTGGCTACGTGTTGCCCTGGGAGCAGGCGAGTTCTCAGTCTCCAGGCATCAAAGCCTCTCTTCTTGAGTTGGAAAATCCGTCACACACGCTGGGATCGTGTGTCGGCTGATTCCGAGGGGGCTCCACGGAACAATGATGAACTCCTGGGGGGCTCACAGCTTGGGGCTTGCTTCCTTGTTGGTCCTGCTGTCTGTTGGCCTTTCTCTTTCTCTCTCTTTCCCTTTAAATCAGGCTCTTCCTTCCGAGAGGAGACCCATATATTATAACGTCATCGCGTTCTAAATATCTGGCTCCTTTTGAGCTGAGAATGTACTCTGCTGCTGTGAGGTTCCCGCTGCCCCCAGCCCCCACCCGCGCCTCCAGCTGGGTCTGCACTTCCGCTCACCAACCTGCCGCTGAAGTTTCAGGACTGCCCAGCACCCTCCCCTCCCTCCCCTCGAGGACCCGGGTTTCATGCAAATAAGTCATAAGATGAACCTGGCTTTAAAATAAGTAATTTTTCCTAATCCCAGGGTCTACTTTCCTACCTACCCTATTAAACTTTCCCACTGTGAGGTCAAGGGACTTCTCAAATTTTCCCAGGCTGACCCACTTAAAAACATCCACCTGGGCCAGTCCTTTGTAACCACTGGCTTTGGCCCATTACCCAAGTGTTGCCACAGAGGAAGGACATGCCCTCCAGGTAAATGTGAGTGTAAAATGCTCACCTCAACAAAACCTGCATTCCCTTGGAAAGGAACACATTTTTTAGGACAGATCTAGTGTTACGGAACAAGATTCTCTAGGGCTGTTTACTGTTTTAAGAAAACAGATCTTATGTGCACATACATCACAAGGGACATATATTTAAGAGTCTTATTTATTTTGACCCTTAAGCCTTTTGTAGGCAAAAGGCGACTTCGCCCTTTCTTTTCTGGATGAGTCAAACATATTGGTGCTAGAGAGATTTTCCCATATTCGTTCTGATAGGTAGAACACTCGTTCCTCTTGCTATCTACACGGGCCACAGCAGTTTGTCATGACGTATGACATTTGGACTCATACACTGAAAAATGTTTAAGCAGTCCTACATTTTAGAGTAAGACCGTCCCAGTAAAAGATACAACAACAAAAAGCATGACAAAGGCACCTACACAAATGCCTGCTGCCCACTGATGATTACGCATGTCAACATCATTAAAATTGCTTTGATTTAGGTCCTTACGTACTCCGTTCTCTAGGAGCTGAGGAGGGGGAAACGTGCTAACTGCTGATTAAAACGTCAAGGTGCTCTCTCCAGCCCCTCCCCACTCTCAAGTCCAAGGGGTACACAGGATTTTGCAGCCCTGTCACCTCCCCATGCATGTCCATTGGGTCAGGCACCTTGGAGTTAATGCCTCGAGCAGGACTGATGGAAAATCCTACCTGCATGGTCAAATGATGAGCTCTCATTAAAGAGACTCACAGAAGGCTGCTGGCCAGCTTGCCTCCTTGTCCTCAGCACCACACAGCCCTCCGAGCTCTGCCCATCCAGGGCCTGGGAGGCCCTCCCCCACCCCAACCTCTCACAGGGGGCAGTTAGACCAGAATCTCCTTTCTGGTGGAGCCTCAGCCCCTCACACTGGGAGCTGACACTTACCAGTTGCTGAAAAGCAGGCTGATCTATGTCACTCTGCAAGGCGAAGTCGCTCAGTACTTTCCAAGGTGGCTGGTAACTCTGCACCTCCACCGGGTTTGCCTGTAAGCCACTGTCATGTCTCTCCGGGCTGGCAGCCACCATGGGAGTTCCTGTCATCCCCTGGATATTCTGTGAATAGCCACCCCCACCCCCCAATCCCAACATGTTAATGAGCAAACTCCCTCCCTCCATTGTCCGCACAGGCTAAACAAATATACCCAGGCATTATCTTATCTATATTGTGGCCTTTATTGACTCAGCAAAGTTGCTGCGTGTATGGATATTAGCAGGAGTTCAGTTTTGTTTTACTGTGTTTTGTTTTTCTGCTTCTGTGGGCTGGACTGAGGTCTGCTAGGACCTCACCAAACCAAAGCCTACTGTGACTCGCTTCTTTCCCTTCCTCTCAGCTTATCCCACCCCCTCCCCCTCCCGTCCAGGCCCCGAGAGCTGAGGCAGGGAGGCCTCCCTTCACGCTGGACTGGGGATCCAGGGCAGCTTCAGGGAGATTTTCTCCAGGCCGCACTCCCTGCAGGGCCACCCCCGCCCTCCTGCCTGTGGGTCTGGCGGCTATGGCGCTGTTAAGCACTAACCAACTTAGAAAGTGCCCTGGCCAGCCTGCCAAGTTTAATGACGGCGGGTTTTATGGCATTTAAAAATAGGGCCACCGCAGTAAAAAGCCAAAGGAAGAGAAGGAACTCTTTAGGTTAATTTCACCAGAAGGCTGTGGGGTGGGTGCTGCTGGGGACCAGGGAGAAGAGTGGGTACTAGAGCCAGGGGCCTGACTTCTCCGGAGGCCTGGGCTTGACCTTGAATAGAGAGTGCTCTATTTTTGTGGGTCACCTTGGGGGACCTCACAGGCCTCAAAGTGCTGCAGAAGGCCTAGCCAGGCATGGGGGGGGACAGGGGGTCCCAGGGTGACCCACCCTGTGGAACCCTGGATTTCATTGGAGCCAAAGGAATTGTCCTTCCTCACCAGTGCAGGGAGAACCAAGGACCTGAATGTCCAAACCAGAGCCAGGTCCTGCTGATGCCTGCCCAGAGAGGGCTCCCTGTGGGTGTGGATGAGGATGAAGGGCAGAAGCCCACCCATGCAGACTGGGGTTGTGGGTGGCCACTCCAACCGGAAGAAGGGTCCCCAGCCCCAGGCCGTCCTGGGTTGCCTCTCCCTGGGGTTTGAGTCGGAGTGAGGAGCTGCCTGTCAGGGCTCCTGGTCCGAAGCACAAGCAGGATGGAAACGGGCGCCTGCCAGCCAACCGGAGCTCCCAGCAGGCACCTGGCCTCCTCGGCTGCCTCTCTGGGTCCCCTGCCCTGGGCCTGGCACTCACGGTTTTGTCGTTGGGCTGCTGCTGCTGCAGCTGCTTCATCATGATGCTCCGCTTCTTGTCCTTGCACCGCTTGTTCTGAAACCAGACCCGGATCACGCGGGGGCTGAGGCCGGTCATCTCCACGAGCTGCTCCTTCATGAGCGCGTCGGGCCGGGGGTTGGCGGCGTAGCAGGTCCGCAAGGTGTGCAGCTGCTTCTCATTCAGCACAGTCCGCACGCGGGTGGTCTTCTCCGGCTGCTTGTGGACGTGGGGCCGCAGGGCCGGCTGCCGGGCAGAGATGGGCTCGGCTGCGGGGTAAGGGTGGCGGTGAGCGCAAGCCGGGGTGCTGGCCCCCCGCCCCCGCCCGGGCAATGGCCAGAGCTTTGAAGCCCGGACCAAGCAGGAGCAGCACAGGTAGAATAAAACCTCGCTCTCTAATCTCAGAGGTCAAACTGAGTAATCCGCGCCGGAACGCAGCCTCCGCCCCTGCTCTGTCAACACAGGGGTCGCAAAGGAGCGCGTCTCAGGCCTGTCCCCCGCTGCGCGCAGCAGGACTGGCATCTTTCCGCGTGGCTTCTCCTTCCTGGCCTTTTCTGTACCCAGACTGGAGCCCCCCCACCTCTGGGCTCTTGGGCAAAGGTCAGAGGGTACCAGGGAAGGGAAGGCAGAACACTCCAGTGACAGCCAGAGACACCACAAGCAGCCAGGATGTGTGCAACACGAAGGCCGGGGAAGAGGCTAGCAGAAAGCCTTGACCTTCAGTCTCAGACGCCACTCCGGCCAAAAGGCTAAAGAGATTCAGTATTCTGGCCCTCTCTCTGCTCCCTGATCTTTCTCGGTGCTAAATCTACCTGGTTGTCCCTAACACGGGCTGAGCCCAAGCGAAGGAAACTGACTGGGCTGCCTGGCTCCAGACAAGGACAGCTGGGAAGTGTCCTCTGCTGACTGTCCCAGTATTCCAGCCTCCTCTGTTTTCCTACAAGCAGAGGACAGGTAGCTCCGAACAGAAGCTGCCGCCCTCTGGCACAGCCCCCTGCCAGCAAGTGACAATCCCCCACCCCTGGTGGAATTCTCTGTCTTTTTCTCAGCCAGTGTTTAGTGGGAATTGATACTTTAAAAATGTACCAGGGCAGATCTATTCATGACCGGAAGGCAGGATTGGAAACATTGTCTGTCTTCTTTCCCGGCCCCCTGGGCGACCTGTTTCTACTCTCCTTCCCGGGGAAAAGGCTCTCTGATCCGGAGGGTACAAATCCCACACCTTCCTGAACTCCCTAGGGTCAGGTCAACACCTAGGGGGTCAATTTAGTGTTATAGCCACAGGCCCAAAGATGAAATTCTCACCAAATCACTTAAAATGAATGGTTTAAAGAGGCAGGCTCCCTTTAAAAGGCAATTACTGCAGATTAGCTTGTTGACAGTTTTAAATTACAGCCCTGTGCAAGGGCGTGCAGTTATGAAGACTATCTTTTCATGTCCATTTTCTCACAAAAGGATAAAAATAAATTTTAAAACTCTTTTGGAGTGTGGGGCAATTGGCAAGGAAAGGGGATTTCAGAAGCTGAAGGACTTGGGGCCACCCAAACTCCCTTGGCCTGGCCAGGAGTGAGCCCCGAGGTCCAGAACTCCACCCCTTTAATTAGGCAGCAGCAGGGCGCATACCTGGCGGAGTTGTTGCCCGCTGTAGGTAAGCCAAGGCTTGAAGGCCAAGGTGAACTGAAGTACTGTTCGGGCGTGTGTGTACGTGTGTGCACAAGCGGTGTACGTTCATGTGTACCATAGTTAGACACGCAGCCCTGCAGGTGTGCTGGCGGAGGGAAGGGGACAATGCGCGCATTGAACCTCGCGGGGAAAGCAAAGCGACCTGAGCTCCCTGCACTTCAGCTAACGGCCGGCCACCGCCGCGCCAGAGAGGCCGGTGGCTGCAGGGCCGCAGCGGCCGCCAGCGAGCAGGGACCGGCGGGCCCAGCCGGGCGCCTGCCTCCCAGCCGGCCTCCCCCGGGCGAGGGCGAGGAGTACCTGCCATTTGCAGCGGCCGCGCCGGGTGCAGGGGGCTGAGCGGGTCCCCGGCGCCCAGGCTGGCCCTCTCCACCACGTCGTGGTCCGCGCGGCAGAAGAGCCCGTCCTCCCGCAGCGCGAACTCGTCCCCGGGGATGAGCTGGCGGCTGCAGGCCACGCAGCGGAAACACTCGATGTGGTACACCTTGGTGCGGGCGCGCATCACGAAGTCGTTCTTGCTGAAGCCGATGCTGCACTTGGCGCATTTGATCCCATACAACCTGCGCGGGCCGGCCCGGCCGGAGAAAAGCACAGGGACAGCGGTCACTTCAGGCGGTCGCTGCCCCGCCCGGACCGCCGACTACCCGGCCACAAGGCCCTGAGCCCCCGAAATCCGCATTAAGCAGGCAAGCTGGGAACAGAACAGATGTGATTAGGTCTCGCTCCCGCTCTTTCTGTCCTTTTTCCTTCTTTTGAACCTCTCTCTGTATCCAACTCGGACCTTCTAGTTCCCTGAGTCCGCGCCAAGGACATTTGTCTGATGTACTCCGAAGCCGGGCCGGCTCGAGCGAGCAGTCACACAGTGGGTACCCGCTGGCCCCACACTTTTCAGAAATGCATCTAAGCCTGCAACCGTAAGTCCCCCATCCAAGTGGAAAAGAGACCGGCACCCCCCACTCGGTGTGCAAACACACAAATGCGCCAGCAGAACGACAAAATGAAACCGGAGGGTTTCCAGATCCATTTCTGCACGAGCCCACGGCAGTGCTGCCGGAACTCGGGATTTCCCGCAGGCAACAATGCGAACACAAAGTTTCCTTTGCGGTCTTCTTTTCGTTCTTGTATTTTAAATCTGCTTCTGCTCCCCTCAATCTTTTTCAAGTGGCCGAATTATCTACCTGTTTCAGTTTGCCTGAGAGCAATGACCAGGCAGGAAAATGAAAAGACCCACTTCTGAGGTCTCCCCCGTGCTGACCTCTCCTTGGCGGTTCCATCTCTGCGACCCTGCCCTGGGCCCCCTGCATCAGCAACAACAGGAGCTGGGGCCTTCCTGCCAAAACACCCACCGAGAGCAGTGAGGGGAGCACTTCACTCCCCCAAGGGGAGACAGGCAGTGGGAAATCTAAATGACCTCTCTGTTCTGCTTTTACAACAGGGTTTCAAAGGACACACACACACACACACACACACACGAGTTGAGAAGAGTGGAGAGGAAAAGGTAAAAGCAACTGGCTCCTTCTACAAACTGGTATCCAGAATTAGGCACAAGTAGGTCTGTATGCAATTGAGCAAAACACTATCTCCAGGGGAGGAAAGATAGGCTCCAGGAGGTGGGAAGTGAGCTCTCCCTCGCCAGAATCTCCAGTTCACACACCAATCAAGTAAACAATGAAAAAGGCTCATTTGTCAGAGGTTAGAAGGTAGATTCAAAAGTTTTGCCTCCCTCCGCCTACTCTATGTGAGATCTTCCATTTCATAGGATGAGGGCTTTACCTTGCTTGTGACCAAACAATTTGGAAAACCCCTCCCCCTTTCTAGGTTCTCCTCTTCCCCATTTCCTCCCACTCTTCCCCACCTCCATCAAAGTGTTCATAAACTTTTTTTTTTTTGCACTGTTCAGTTGTATCTATCAAGATTCTACTCTCCACTTCATGCCTGTAAAATAAGAATAAAAAATTCTGGACACTAAATGAGCAGGAAAAAATTATAAGTGCATACTTAAATCTTGACTAAACTTTAAGTTCTCAGCTACAGAATCTCCATTACTTACAAAAGCTATTTTCTTGTTAATAGCCACTAGAGAAAAAAATTTAAAAAACATATACTTTTGATATTTTTTAACATAATAGCAAAGGTGTTTCTCTTTTCTTCTGTTTGTTATTGAAACAATAAAATTTTCTTTAGAAATTCGACTGGCTTCCTAAGGCAGGAAGTGAAGTTTCTGACACATATACACAGGTCAGAGAAAATGTGAGATTAGCAAAGTACGAAGTTTAAACGCAGAATAAATTAAAAGAAAATAGACTCAGAAATTTCCTTATGTGGTTTTAGTCTTGTCAATATGGACAATTCGCTCATTTTATCAGTTACCAGATTTTAATGTGAGAAAGGAAGCTGTTCAATTATCTAAATATACCAATTGTTCGTAGACAGATGATGGGCAATTTGATCTGCTCTGTCTAATTCATCAGCTCAGATAAGATAAGAAAGAAAAGACAGTCAGATGTCACCAAAGGGTTAATATTTTAAAAGATTAAATTTCCGGTCCTTTTGCAGAGAATATTTGGGTTGGTTTTTAAATTTTCCAGGTATAAACTCTTAGCCTAAAAGTAAAAGACTGTTTGCTCTTTCAAAATGCATCTTTAAATATGTTTAGCTCAAACTTTTATTTCGTCCATTACATTGACAACTCCAAAGAATTTGTAAGTTGCTAAGAAAACAATGAACTAAAATAAATACATAGAGAAGGAGAACACTGCACAATACAATCAAAATCAATCTTTTATAAAATTTAGAAACCCCAAATTATCCATCTTTAATTTTTTTGTTTGTTTTGGAAGTGGGAGGGTAAAAAAGAAAAATAATTTGGGCACCACAAATTCCAAGAGCAATTGAACAAGCTTCAATATCACACAATTTAAGAAAACCACTATCAAATTTTGTGGGGTTTTTTTCCCCCTAAAAAAGTGAGATGAGCAGCATAGTTTAATTTATGTAATATACGTTCAGGATAACTTTTGAACGCCAGACCCCACTACCGCAAACTTCGAAAAAAGGGCAAAGTCACACCAAATAAAAAATAAGGAGTGGGGAGAGACAGGGGAATCGCACAAAATTAAGAAAGCAGGAGATAAATGGCATACCTGATATAATCTCTTTTACAGTAGGTTTTCCCATCTCTAACAAAGCACGTACAGCTCTCGTCCAAATACTGATTACACTCCGCACATTTCAAACACGCCGCGTGCCATTCCAAATCCGGAGAAACCCTCAGAATATACTGATCGTGAATTTGATTGCCGCAACCAACACATAGGGAAATCAGACGTTTTTCTGAAATGAAAATAAATACATGATTGACTAACCGTTTACTTCCTACAGAGATAAACACACTTTTAGTGTCGTTCTCTTATAGGGCGTACTCTGGGAGATTTTGCCCCCCTTTTCTTTCCTTCTTTTTCTTTAAAGAGCACTGCACTCCGGAATGGTAATTGAAGTGTGCTATCAAAACCCTGACTCGTTTTAAAAAGGAGGTGGAATATATGTAAAATGCAGATTTGAATAGTCTACATTTGTAAGCCTAGCACACAATCAAACCCGTTCATTTTGTGTTTTCTTTCCCTCCTCCCTCTTTGCCATAACCACTCTGAAAGATTATGGATAAGTCAAGTCAAAGAAAAGGTTTTGACTAGAAGCGTTAAGTGAACACAGGGATGTCTCTATTTTCCATGAAGCACGCTCTCAAATACTACCTAGGACTGGATATTGTTAGCAAGAGCACACTTCAATACAGTTGTCACTCGTTCTCTTTTGCAAGTCTAATGCTACTTCACGTCTCCGGGCATTGTACGTGCAGGCAGACCTCTGCCACAGAATAACCTGCAGAGAGCTCAGGTTCCTGGGGAGGAACCGGCGCTGAGCACCAGAAGGCCAGGGCTTGGGAGGGCACACAGGCGAATTCAAACACAAGGTACGACCAGTTTCCCGAAGATCAGAACCGACAGCAAAGCATGCAGGCGTGGCGGCGACGAGAAAAAGCCACCTTCTCTCTCTCGGTCTCTCCAGGCGATGACTCCAACTCCGAAGAGCCCTTGGCACCCGTGCCTGAGAGACCCCCGCACAGACCAGCACACCGAGCCCCACAAGGTAAAAGAGCCTCTTACTTTTTGGTGGATCTCCCATGTCTCCCATATCGGTAAGAGGGAGTAATGTCCACAGTGCAATGGTGGTTGGACAGTTGGTGCCCAGCCCACGGACAGGATGCTGGCGCTGTGGCTAAGTGGGAGACAGTGGCCCGGGGCTGCCGAGGCTGAGCAGCCGCTGCCCGCCGCGCCGCGCCCTGGCGGGTCGGGAGTCCACTTGGAGCCGGCGGAGCAGGCGGAGCGGAGGCGCTGCGGCGGCGGCGGACTCGGCGCGGCTCGGCACCTCTCTTCCTTATCTCTTACTCAAACTTCTCTGCTCCAACTCAGCTCCATCGCCATTGGTCTGACGCAGCGCGCGGGGACGTCAGGCGAGCGCCGCGCCCATTGGCTGCGGGGTGCGCGGCGCAGCTGTTCTGATTATCATATTTCAGCCCCGCCGCGGCCGTGCGCCACTGCCCGCGCGGCGAGCCCGCGGGACGGGATTAGGGCTCCCCGGCAACTCGCTCGGGATCGGCCTCCCCGGCGCCCGCTGCCCGGCGCCAGGCTGCGGGCCGCCCTCTCCTGCTGCTCCTCCTCCCGCCCCCTCCCTCGCTCCTTCCCGGCCGCGCCGCCTGCGCCCTCGCCGCCCGGCGCGCCGCTCCTCCGCCCTGCGCTCCTGGGGTCCCCGCCGTCCGGCTGGCCGTGGTGCGCGCGGGCCTCACTTTTCTGCCGCCGGTGGCGAGTGGCTGGTGGGTAGGTCTTCCTGATGATGAGGTCCCTCCCGGGTTCTAGGCACGGGGCCACTTGGAACAGCCGATTTGGCTCGGTTTGATCTCGCACTTGGGCGCACAGCTCCGGGCCTGGCCGTCGGGGAGGGTGGGTCCCTAAGTGGCTGCGCGTGGTGCACTGGGAGCCGCCTCGGGGAAAAGGACCGGGAATGGGATGAATGGACCCAGAGGAATTGTTCGCTACTGCCCCCCCGCCCCCAGGGCCCCGTTCCCCGCGACCCCAGATCTCCAGAAAGGCGGGGTGGGAGGGAAGGGGCGCTCTGGCTTCAGCGGAGAATGGGGTTGGAGTTGCACAGGTAACTCCAAGTTGGCTCCGCGAACTCCTGTCTCCTAGCGACCCGCAGTATCTGCTTTGCAGTCTAATCCTGGAATTAGGAACTGTGCTAACACGAGCCCAGAACGAAATGCTCTTCCAGTCGTTTCAAGTTTGTAAAGAGGTTATGTCCTGCCCAGCTGCTTCCTCTGCTGGTCTCCTGCCCTTTGTTTCTGAGCAAACGTGTACGAGGAGGTGGTGGCGTTGTGGTAGTTATACGGCCAAGTCTCCACGTCTCTGTGAGATAGTTTTAAAAATGCGTTAGTCTAGGGGCGTGAATAGGGAGGGGTCTGAGACAGAGGTACAGGGAAATACCTTTTTCTTTAACCCCGTGTGTTTATCTGATCCTTTTTTCTCTCTCTCAGAAAACAACCTGGAGAGGGAAGAATGTTGGCTGCAGCTCGCCAGCAACCCTTTCCAATAATTTCTTACGTGTTCCCGGCATCTTACAGTCTCCCTAAAACAAAGTCACAGCGAGGCCAGAAGAACCCCCCACACTTTTGCCAAAGCTTCGAAAGAGCGATTCCTTACCTAACGCAGCTGCCAGTTTTATCTGAAAAGGCCCACAACCCAAGCAGCAGTGGAAGGGGTAATTTTGGTGTCTTGTTGCCTGGAGTAAAGCTGGGGGGCGGGGGGCGGGGGTTAGGAAACTGCTTTCTTTGTACCTTTCGCCAGATCTCACCCTTGATAAGAGCTGTGAGCGCCTAGCCGGCCTCTGGGGCTGGGTTCGCGGGGATGGGCTTCTGCAGAGCTCGGAAGCCAGGCTGCCCGAGTTTCCGCCCTCACTGAGGCTTTCTCAAGGACATGCGTGTGTTGTGTTTTGTTTTCGCTCAAGGAAGATCTCTAACTGGATCTTATCCCTTTTATTATAAGTTATGTCTGTGTGTGGTGTGTGTGTGTGTGAGAGAGAGAGAGAGAGAGAGACAGAGAGGAGAGAGATCAGCCGTCTGATGCACAGAGGCTGATAAACTTACCAGAGATTTGGTTTGGGTTTTTGGTTGTAGTTTCTAGTCTCTGGAATTATATGCATGGAGCCTTTTGTCAGCGGCTTTTGCAAAACTGATGCTGATAATCACAAGCTAAGCAAGTCTTCCCAGTACAGGGGCATGTTTCCTGTATAGATAACCAAGTTGACTCTAGTAAAGAAAAAAGAGAGAGAGAGAGACCACTATAATGCCAGGAAGTAAATAGAGGATTTTAACCAATCATATTCGATCATGCCACCTTTAAAACATGGAATTAAACAAGGGGAGCTGCCAGAACAGAAGCCTGAGGACTTACATTTGAAATTCACAAAGCACCCTCACCATCCTTCCTCCTTCACACCAGCCACACCCTCCGCGTGGCTTCGGAACTCCCTACACTAATGAGCTATTCCAAAGAGTTACTGCTGATGTTGATAGCAATTCCAAATAGAGGAGCTGGCATGTACCTTGGAGGAAAACCGTTAGCAAAGGCCCTTTCATAGTAATGGCGAACACGGTGTGTTTTGCTTGCTTCAGCCTGCTGTCACTGTGAACAGAATTTCCTTAATAAGTTCCCGGGCCGATGTGAAGATTAAGCAGACGATATGCCCTGTCCGAGGGAGCCATTTGAGGGAACCCAATAATTATGTTGTTTCATGATGGATGTGCTCTGGAGTTGGGTCTGTTGCTAATACATTTTGCATTAAAATCTAAGTTTGGATAGCAGGTATTATTGTTTCTCTTCACCTTAAAGTTCACATATGGTCACAGATTAGTCCCTTTTCCTTAGCCGATATGTGCATTTAATGCATGAAATATATGTGTAAAGAATTGTTGTGTTTTTGTAGAATGGATCAAATAGTGATTAGCAATATTCCCCCCAGTATTTGGTCACAGGAGCGACCTCTTGTGTCCAGAGGAGGGATTAGACCCTTTCTGGTCAAAAATGGACTCACTTTGACCTTTGAATATTCAGTGGGTTAAAAAATATATCCTTCAAAGCAGCAGTGTTGTGAATCCCCTGGCGTGAGCTCTTCTGCTGATGAGTGAAACAAAAGAATATGAGTGGTTATCAAGTATAATTCCTGTTACTTTCAGGCCACCCAAATATACTTTACAGTGCCTCCTCCGAATATAAAAGAGATGCTAAAATGTAACAAGTTCCTCTTGGATCTGTGGCATTTGTCCCTGTGCACCTTCCAAAATGCAGCTATTACACCTAAAACTAGTGAGCCCTTATGCCTGTATTTTTGTATACTGTTGCTTTAATTAAAATGGAAAAATTCCACATCAAACTTAATGCTAGATACAGTTTCCTGAACAAAGATGTCCTCAATATACTTAAAAAAAAAAATCTAAATGGGTTTTAATTGAGATTGAAAAGTAGCATTACAGATTTAGGACTTATTTATTCCCCAACAACTTCTGGCAGATATAAGTGAATTTTTAAGTTGGTTCTTTGGGAAGTTATATACAGTGAGGGAGAGCGTTTTTTCCTCTCCAGTTAGCAAAGAAGGGGAAGGAGAGGGGGATGATCACCTTTCCCTCAACGATGAATTTGTTTGGGAACTTATTTCCAGGGAATGAGTTGATGCCCACATCAGAATCCGTTTGGAAGAGAACAGTCACAGTGGGAATGCCAGTTTCCATAAGTAAGGTGTTCAGATGGAAAATAATATAACTGAAGGATTTATGTTTTCTGATCATCTCAAACACATAATTGAGGGGGGGTGTCAAAATGAAACAGACTATTTTTCCACCTCAAGAAACAAGTATAGAACAGATCTTACTCGCCCCCATTATCTTTACTTGTTCTGTGTAGTCTAATCGTGTAGAGAGAATAAAACTATATAGAAGCATCAGGATCTTCAATCCCGTGCAAGAGTCAGATAAAATGATGAGCATTTAAAGGGAGTCATGGTTACCGTTTCTGCTCCGCCGGGAACGGCGGTGGGTGTTGAGAGCTAATTTGTCTTTCTTGCAGTTTTACTGTTGGTGGCTTATTGAGGAGGAATCAAGAGAATCTTCGCTCTAGTTTCAGAGAGAGACAGGGTCCTCTTTATGTACCATTGGGTATGCAATGGTGTCTCTCTTTCTGTCCTTTAACTTGTTCTTTTTTTTTTTTTAAGAGTACTAAGTAATGATGATAATAAAGGCAGTTGTTAACAACAACAGACGGGTAGTTGTGATTGTCATTTTATTGCCGAGGGCTCCCGCCGTGGCGGTGGTTTTGTTGAGTGTGTCAGTTGCTTTATTAACCAGTTAAAACAATCTGGGTGAATTAACAAGACTTTTCTTCTGCTCCCGGACCTTCCAGTAGCCAGCCTTCGGGAATCAGGTAGAATCTGTCCCGGCTTCCCCGCCTTCTTCCCTGGCAGACGGCGGGAGGCCAGGGCCCTCGCGCAGACCCGAGACTGCCAGGTCCCGCAGCTCCTGGCCCGCTGGGGTTCCGCCCAGCGAGAGCAGAACTTGGAACCTCCCTTTCAAAGTGTGCTTTTGGAAGTATTTACTACGCTCTCCGAAAAGTGGCGGCAGTGTCAGGTGGAAGCTTTTTCTCTCTTTTTTTTTTAGTTGTTGTTTTCTTGATTTTCATTTTGAAGCCCTAAATGACTAGGACTTTTTAACTGCACTGGAGCTGTGCTGCGGCCCCAGTTTGGAGCTGGGGGAGTGCAGTGTGCTGACGGAGAGGTTCTGGCCCAAGGACGCACAGAACCCTACGTGGGGTCCTCCCGGGGTAGCTGGAGTCCGGGGAGGTGGAAAAGCCGTATCTCCCAGGTCCGGCAGTCCGGCTGACAGCTGCCACTTCAGCACCGAATCAAGCAAACCCAGAGCAAGTTAACTCGGGGTGGCTGATCCAATGACATTTTTTCTGCGAGCAGTGACACCCCTTCTGCCCCAGCAGCCAGTCCAGTGAGCAGCTCTGGGTTCAGCTCCAAAGGAATCCTTTTCAGCCCTGCTGGAAGTTTACTGGGACCAGCGGGGAGGGGAGGCAGGTACCCCGGAGGAGGCCCGGAGGTGGAGAAGGAGGAGCAGAACTTTTCCAGCCAAGCGGGGAGGGACGCAGAAGGCCGGAAATTTACCAGGATGCTCCAGACAACCTTCCCCAAGGCTCCGAATTCAGCCCTGGAGAAAGAGCTTCATGCTGGTGCCCAGGGTGGGAGAGCTCAGTGGGCTGATGTCAGGAGTTAGAGCGACTGTCTCTGAATTGAACGGGTGGCTAAAGCGCCTGGGGCGGTTAGTGTCCTGGGTGGGGGCTGTTCTGAA